ATATATATATAGCACTTAGTATAGCACTTAGTACAGGGTCCACAGGATCTCACTACACAGATCTGACTTGTAGTGATCCTATTTTCAGCCTCCCAAGCACTGGGATTACAGTCGCGTGACGCCACGCCCAGTGTCAGTCATGGTCACTGCGCCCCCAAGGGCAAAGGCCAGCACATTCCAGGAATCAAACCCCAGTCCTTGCACCTGCCTAAGCAGGTGTTTTAATCTGCTGAGCTATCTGGCCATCCTTACATTTTCTCTTTTGGTGGAACCAGGGATTGAACTCAGGCCCTTGCGCTTGCCAGTGAAGAGCTTATTCTACTGAGCCACCTCCCCAGCCCCTTACATATATATTTTTTTGAAACAGGGTCTCATCATGTAGTTCAGGCTGTGCTTGAACTCACTAGGTAGCCCAGGCTGGGAGTCCAGCAGCCAGAGGGAACGTCTCAAAATGCAAGTTTGGGGGCTTGGTGAGATGGCTCAGTGGTCTAAAGCACCTACTTAGAACAAGCTTAGCTTAGCTTGGTGAGCTCACAGCAATCCTCCTGCCTCAGCCTCCTTAGTGCTGGGATTATAGGTGTGAGCTTAGTCTGAGCAGTGGGCAGGAGTTTACACTTGACCTTAGCCAAAAGGCAGAGAAGCAATGGGCAGGAGTTATTTTACTTTATTTTATTTTATGTATTTAGTATAAGGTCTACGGTGTCTCACTGGCATGGCAGGCCAGGGATCGAACCCCCGGCCCCTGCATCTGCCTAAGCAGATGCTTTAATCTGATAAACTCTCTGGCCAGCCCAGGCAGGAATAAGCACAGGAGGAGAAAGGAGAATTGCTTGTGAAATGCCTGCCATGAGGGAAAATGCCACGGTGCTTATGGGGCGGCAGGGGCAGACAAGGCGCAGCCAGAGGCAGGGAGCAGCTGATCACACAGGGCCCTACAGGTTTCTTTAAGCACTCTTGTCTTTATTTAGCCTAAGAGCAGTGAGAATGCAGAACAATTACAAGTGCAGGCTGTGGACAAACTTGCATTTTTTTTTTTAATTCTTTTTCTTTTTTAAAAATTTATTTGTGGGGGGGGCGGGGCTGGCTGGCATGTGGTGCTCGGGGATTGAACCGCGGTCCCTGTGCTTTGCTAAGCTTGTTCTAAGTAGGTGCTTTAGACCACTGAGCCATCTCACCAGCCCCCAAACTTGCATTTTGAGACGTTCCCTCTGGCTGCTGGACTCCCAGACCCTGGACTTTCTCCCTTCCATGTAACTTAGTACAGAAGCTGCTAAATTCTGCTGGCTGATCCTCCATATCCCTAGCAAATTTCATTGTCTCCCTTGGGGAAGATTGCCATGGGCTCCTAACTGGTCCCCTGCCTCCTCTCTCCTCCTCCATGCTACAAGCTTCATCTTTCTTTTTTTTTTAAGGATTTCTTTTTTTTTTTAATTTTATTTTATTTTGAAATGTACAATTATAGTGTAAACTTCAAGTCAACCCAAGTATTTTTTTTAATTAATTTATTTATTTGTGTGTTTTATGTGTGTGTGGCCAGCTCAGCCCACCAGGGGGCAGGGCTGGCTGGCATGTGGGGCTGGGGGATTGAACCGCGGTCCCTCTGCTTTGATAAGCTTGTTCTAAGTAGGTGCTTTAGACCACTGAGCCATCTCACCAGCCCCTACAAGCTTCATCTTATAACATCCCTGTTGGGGCCGGGGAGATGGCTCAGTGGAATAAGCGCTTCCCTGGCAAGCGCAAGGGCCTAAATTCAATCCCTGGTTCCGCAAAAAAAAAAAAAAAAAAAAAACCATCCCTGTCACATAAGACAAGCTGAAACCCTTTTTGAGCTCTAGTAGATCTATGGATTGAGATCATCCTAGGGGGCGGGAGAGAAGGCTCAGTAGAAGAAGCGTTTCCCTGGCAAGCGCAAGGGCCTGAGTTCAATCTCTGGTTCTGGAAAAAAAAAAAAAAATCATCCCAGCTTGTGAAAGTCAATTGTTAACGTTGCTCAAGTTATATAAGCTCTTTTTAAAACATAGCCACTATTTTAAAAATTATGTAAATTTAGAGGGCTGGG